TATATATATATATACAAATGCATATATATATATATACAAATGCAAAAATATATATACATACAAATGCAAATATATATACAAATATAAGATAATTATACTATAGCTTCTATTAGTTCATTGAAAAGGACAGTTTGTGCTTGTGTAATTTGATCAATTTTTCGAGCCTATATCTTGTAATCTGAGTAACTACTTTGAAGATAATATGCAGCATATTAACCATTGTTAATATACTATTATCTAATTTTGAAATTGGGTATCATTGTTTTTATTGTTTTTTTTTCTCTTAAAAAAAGGAAAAAATGAAGTATAGTGGCCTATACAAATCAATTTTTCTGGAAACCACTCCTACCCAGAAAGAAGAAAATAAAGTCCCATATGGTGATCCTGTGCGGGACCACTTCCTCTGTCACATAAGCAGTGCCATGTACATCTGGATGCTTTTCCTGGGCTTGCTTAACAAAGTATCAAAATGTAGGTGGCTTAAAACAATTGAATTTTATTTTCTCACAGTTCTAGAACCTGAGTTTACACAATGAGAACCTGTCTCAAAAAAAAAATCCATAACACTTGGTGGATATCATATTAGCCTTAGGATATTATAGGCAACAGTATGTATATTATATGAGTAGTGAGTTATATCTCAGTGAAGATATAACTGCTGTATTAGGACCTAGTGTTTAATAATATATTCATAGTAAGGGGCACACTGTTGGTATTTTATTAGAACTCTACAGGGTGGTATGGCATTGGTAACACGGGACCATATTGTCAATATTTAATTACCCTTTGGGGCTACTGTGTAGATCCTATATTAAGGATAGCGTGCCACAGGGTGACATGGTAAAGAGGCATCACAGAGGAGAAATACTCCATGGTATGGCAGGGAGGAAGCAGCAAAGCAGCAACACTGAGTCTCCCTTTCCCTTTTATTTCATTTAGCCTACAAGCTTAATGGATAGTGCCAACCCCACCTAGGTTGGGCCTTCCCATTACCCACACCTCGAACTATGCCAAACCAAGCAGTGGAATATTTATCACATACCCTTCATCTATACTTGCTCACCCTATACGTAGCCACCTACAAAAAACCCCGCCTATGAGCAGGTAAGGCTTGAGAATCTAGAGATAAGCCATAATGCATTTAGGTTTACTTAGCCTTTGGCAACTATCCTCAATTCTAAATGATCCCTTATGAGAATAGAGGCATTCCTATAACCCAGGAGGTTCCAGAAGATTTGGGGGTTTGTGTAAGGAACCAGAATCAGAGACCAAACACTAAAACAGAAAATTCTCCTAACACCTACTTATTCAACAGAGTATAACAATAATTTATCTCCTAGAACCCACAGGCTGGTAGCATTTATACATTTCACTTTGGATAACAAGCTATAATGTGGAACAACAATGAATTTATAGGTTAAAGTTCAGCAACGAATTTATATAAGTGACATGTGGCAAAGGCCAGTGTTTTCACTGTTAGAAGTTACAGACAAGCAAAGACAGAAGTCTGATTGGGGTCACAGTGTCTGTAATATTTTGCTTTAGCAGCATTAGCAAAATAATACACTATACTTTGGGCTGTGTTTTAGCATTTCCTCTAAGGTTTTTAAAATAAATGTTTAATTTACCAAAACACATTGGAATAGTATTTATCTGATAAATAAAATATAAGAAATTTTGAGGGGAATTGTTCCACTTATCAATCTCAACCATAACCCTAGCATACCTATCTAACCCTAATCTGTGCTAGAAAATTATCTCTAAACCTAATCCTAACCTGAACATTTATGCTCACTCCAATTCTCACCCTGTAACCCTCTAACTCTCACCCTAAACCTGAGGGTAACACTACATTCTAATTTCAGCCCTAAACCCTAACCCTAACCATAACTCTAATTCCTAACCCTATCCCTAACCCTGTACCTCACCCTAATCTGGTCTAACTCTAAACCTAACCCTAACTCTTAACATTAATCCTAACCCCTACCCTAACCTAGCAATAAACCTACCCCCAAGACTAACTCTAATATTAAGGAACTAATTTTGTATTGTGGAAACTCAGCCCATCTGAACCCTTCCCAGACACCAGACTAAGACTGCAGACACTCACGCAGTGGCTAGCCAACAGCATAGTTCTCATACATGGATGGTGGCCAGGTTCTGCCAGGGGACCAAAAACATCCACACTGCTCTTGAAGCAGTCCAGCAGCTGGGAGACAGAGGTGCACAGTACTCTGGCACAGCTCCTGTTGAGGGCCCCTCCCCTCAGAGACCCCACTGCCTCTGCCTGCCAGGGATTGAGCTCTGTGGCAAGGCAGATCCCCTCCTTACCTGCCACTCTCTGGATACCATGCTGCTCCAGGCTCAGGAACTCCAAAGTAAGGCACAGTGCAGAGACTGTCCTAGGAAGGGAGTGGTGAGGCTGGTAAGGTACTGAAGTGGTGTGCTCTGGCTGCTGCCTTCTCCCACCAGGACTCCTGCATGGATGGGCAGAGGGCACTGAAGTTGGCACATGAAGGGCACTGAAGGCAGACAAGCAGGACTTTCCAGGAATGAAAGTGATGTTCGCCCTCGGCACCCACCATTACCCTCCACCTCCAAAAACTGTGCTCACTGCTGTTGTCCAGGGCTCCCAAGCAAAGTCTGCACCCTGTCCCGCCAGCTTCCCTGCTTCATGTATCTGACCTTGACTGGACCACTCAGCAGCCATGCAGCTACTTCCTGATAACCAGGGTGAGGAGTGGCCACCAGCTGGGTTATGGCAGGAATCTGCCTGGTGGAGAAGGGGCTGCTCCACATCTCCCCAACACAGAGCAGCGGTGGTCAGGATGGAAAGGACCCGATCAGCCCTAGGGAACAAGGCCCAAAAGAGACCTGGGCCAATTGCGCCCTTGCTGCCGAAAGCACAGCAACCGGGAGTCCTGCCGCAGGCTCGCACAGATGCACGTGCACCGGTAAAGGGGACCGCCTGGTGAGCCCGAGCCGTGCATGCGCAGCGGCGGTTAGGCACGTTGCTCAGAATCCGGCAAGGAGCCTAGTGGTTCGGACGCAGTGGCGATTGGCTCACCTTCAAAGGCGGCGACAGGTGGAGCGACGGGACGGCCCCCGGGCGCCCGCAGCCTCTGCCATGAAGAGGTTCTTTAGCCTCAGCAGTAAGGGCCAGGCACCCTCGAGCCCCGAGGACTCGCAGGGGAGCGGCAGAGCGACGCGGGGCCGGGTCAACAGGTCCGTGCGCAAGCTCCACAAGGCTGCGAGCGAGGGCGACGTGGCCAGGGTGCAGCACCTCCTGCTGCTCAGGAAAAGTGGCCTCAATGACCAGGACAAGAAGCGCAGGTAATGGGACTGCGGGGCTAGGGGTTGCAGGGGGCGCGGCGGCGGGGCCAAGGGTTAGGAAGGACGGAGTGGGTAAGGAAGAGGGGGAGAGGTGGGTCGGGAAGATGGGGAGAGAGTCCCACCACCCAGGAAGGCAAATCTTGGAGGGGGTCTATCCCTAGGCAGCAAAGTAAAAATAAAACTTTAGCTGGTTTTCAACCAACTTATACTCCCTGTTATAGAACCCTTTATTGACTACTTAAAAGCGATTTAACTACGGTAACAAATGTGTGTAAAGTATTTTATTCTTAGTATCACGTTAAGAGAACTGCTGTGTGTATTGTAAAATGGTACACTATGAAATATTTCCCATAATGTACAAATTTAGGGATGAGGCTTAATTTGATAGAATCTAGTATCCGTTTTCTATCAGTGTACACCTGAGCATATATGTTCTTTACTAAGGAAACTGAACTGAGAAGATGGTTCCATGTTCTTGACTAGAAAGATCCATTAGTCCCAAAATGTGAGCTTTCTGTTTATCAGTTTTGTGCAAACCAAATGAAAACACCAAGTAATACTTGAGTTCCACCTACCCTCTTTTGCTATTGCCACTAAGAAAGTGTAGTGAAGACCTGCCTCCCTAGGTATCAAAATAAGCTATTTTCACAAATTAATTGTTTACTAACAGCTCAAAAGACAGATAAATGAATATAACTCAATAGAAAATCCAGAAACATTCAAATATCTGTTAAGAATTTAGAACTTGATACTGATGACCTCCATTTTAGTTGAAAAATTACCCATAAATGAAATGCCTGGGAACTGTTTGGAAAAACCTAGCTAGATTTTCATGACACAAAAGTTCCTGGTGGAATATAGATTAAAATTTTTAAATAATACAAAGTGAGAAAAGTACCAAAAGAAAATATAAATGCCTATTGATGCCTTCCTGAGAATGACCTCAAAAGCAAGATTCTTTTTTGTGCTGTGGGTTGCTCCCAGGACCTGGTGCACGCTAAACACTCCCAGTGAGCCAGCCCCACTTTCCCCATCTGAATTCAGAAGATTGACTATCAAAAGAAAAATTAAATTCTCCTTTATATTAGAAAAAAGTTAGCAAAATGAAGACAACATACTCACAAAACATTTACAACATACATCAGATGAAAAATGTATCTGTATCTTACAGAATTTTTTGAAATCATCAAGGAAAAATACTGAATACTAATTTCTTTTGGTCCTGAGGATCACACCCTGTGAGCCTCAAGAGCTGGACTGTACCAATGAGCTCTACTGAATTCTAAATTGGGTGTTCGGCAGATCTATGAGTGACCTATAAACATAAAAAGACATATTTAGTGTCCCTGGTAAAGGGAATTTAATTTTAAAAAGGAATGAAATGTTTTCCAGCTAAACAGTTTGTGAGGCCAAAGAGAAGTTTATACTGCTGCTTAAAAATTTTTTTTTTTTTTTTGGTTTTTCTCCGGTACCGGGAACCGAACTCACGATCTTGCGCTTGCGAGGCAGGCGCTTTTGCCGCTGAGCTAAATCCCCAGCCCTGCTGCTTAAAATTTAAAATAGCTTATGGCCTTTTCAAATAGGCAATTTGATATAAGTAACACACTTTTTAAAAAGTACATCTCCACCCATCCATTTCATGATACTAAAATACCTTTAGGACATAGAGACACGTGTAATTTGCTTTTCTTCAGAATCACTTAAAATAGCAGTGTATTAAGGTGACTCCATGGAAGAGATTGTATCAGTTGTAGTGCATTCATAGGGTGGAAGAATATATAACCGTTGAAGTTGGCATAGACACAAATGTATGTTGACATGGAAAGATGCAGGTTGATATATCAAGTGAGAAAAGTGTCCCTTTGATTTTGCATACCCACAAATAGACTGCAGTCTTGTGTTAGCCAAAAATGTGTACAAAAGGTGGCAAAATTTGTTATTTTCAGGCATTTGAATAATAAGTGAAATTTTTTTATTATCTAGAACTTCATTCTATTCCTAATATTGAAGGGTTTCTCATTATCTTTTTGATTCTAACTTAGTTTCATTGACAGCAGAAACTATACTCAGTATAAGTTCAGTATTTTGGCATTTGTTGTGTCTTGCATCTCAGACTATCTTCTGATTAGTTTTGGCAGTAGTTCTGTGTGCCCTTCTTTCCTTTCTCTGTGTGATTTCTATAGTGAATATGTATAAAACTCTAGTAAAAGTTTACTGTTAATAAAATAATCCTTGAGACCCCAGATAGCTCACTTGAGATGTTAGTAAGAATTGCCTCCTCAGTATTCTATAGCCATGATGAGGAGGAGGCCAAGGAGAGAAAACAAAGAGACTGAGAAAAAGCAGCTGCTTTTGCTGCACCACTAAGAGAAACAGATCCCAGGTCTGATTCCCAGGGCTCCAAGAAGAACTCAACAACTGCATTCATCTGCTACCACTGTTAAAAGCCAGGCCACCTCAAGAGGAACTGCCCTAAGAGGCCCCATGGGCCATGCCCTGGATGCAAAGGAGACCACTGGAGATCGGTCTGCCCTCTGAGGTGGAGGCCCCAGAGCTCAGACCCATGCTACCAGTTAGTCCAACAGGAATGAGAGGGCTTGGGGCATGGTCTGCCTTCTCCCTCTGGCCAGACCGTCATCTCCATCGAGGAGCCCTGGGTAATCATGACTATGGAGGAACAAGAAAACAGCCTGTTGCTAGACACAGGTGCAAGTCTCTCGGTTCCTTCTTTTCAATCCTGGCCTTCCTTCCAGCCATCATACCTCAGTGAAAGGAGTCACTGGTGAGGAGGTAATATGCTATTTTTGACAACCCTTAGGCTGTAACTCCTTAATAGGTCCCTCTTGCATATCTCTGTCTTCCTGAGAAACCACTCTGAAGATACCACCATGTATTACAGCAGCCATTGATATTTTCCTACTAATCTATCCATAACTGTGTAAAGTTTGTAATGTTCCTATCCTATTTCATAAATGGATGTATGTTTATTATTATGTGTTTCCTACAACAACCATTGAGAATAGTTAATGATTTTTCAATAGGTCACTCATGTATAGCTCTATTTATTTTCTTTAGAAGCCACTTTGAAGATACCAAAGTATAGTACAACAACTCTTGATAATCTCCTACCTCTTTTGTCTGTAACTCACTATTATTTGTCTATTTGTTTTCCTGAGAAACTATTTTGTAGACAATAATATGTAAAATGATAACCATTGATAATTTCCTACCATTTTGTCTGTAATTTGCTAAGTCCCCCCATTATTATGTTATCCTTCTTTTATTCTTTAAAATAAAAACAAACAAACAAACAAAAAAAAAAAATACCAACATTTTTCTTATCCACTCCTCAGTTGATGGGCATTTGGGTTGTTTCCAAAATTTTGCTATGAAAAATTGTGCAGCTATAAACATGGATGCAAATATAAAAAAATAATAATAATAATAGTAATCCTTGAGAAAAATGGGAATATTAGTCTAGCACAGATAATTTTCATTTTCTCTGTGTGTGTGTATTCATATTTCTGCCAACTCTTAGCTTCTTCAGATATAAAGGAATTATCAGTGCTTATAGATTTTTATTATGTTTACACTGAATTATATGTATTTTATTATGTACAGATTTATATATATGTAAGTATACATCCTTTTAATTGCATTTTTGTGGATGTAAAAGATAGCAAATAGAAATGATTATTACTATTACAGAAATACTGCTTTCCTTTATACTTCCAACAGTATTTATCCATTCTTTCAATTCACTTACTTTCCAAACAGAACCCGAATACCTATTATGTATTCTACTATTGGGATCCCTCCTTCCTTAAACCATCATGTTTATCTGATCAGTCTAGCAACTTGAGAGATTTAAAATTGAAGTACAAACTCAAATTTCAATTAGAGCTCTTCCTCTCTCTTTCAAACAAAAATATATTCTAAAGGTAGGAAATTATAAGAGAATCTTTTACTGCTCTTTTCAAAATGTGTAACAGTACTAGATGCTGATATTAAGCATTAGAAATATTTGATTTCTGTGCATTCTACAAATCTAAATGCTGTACAAAATGGGCCATAGCTACCCATTTGAATCTTGGGTTTTATTCAGCTTAAAATGAAAATCATGCCAAGGGTTGTTATTTTTTATCTTGTTTTATTTTTATTCAACACTCATTACTTGTAGTAGTTTTCAATACCAGTCATATGCCTACAGCTGCCGTAGACCTGCTGTGTACATCCTTTTTTCCAGGAAGCAGATTTATTGGTGTTGGCATGAACTCAGCAGATTCATGTCCAACATAGCATGGTTGCACCCTTTTATACAAGTTTTGTGTCTTCATCTCCCTTATACGGGCATACACAATCATTTGTATCTGGTTTTGCAGTACATTAGCATTCTGCAGTCTGGTTGGGTATGATTTACATTATCGAGTTATATCAGAAACTTGCATGCACAAAGACTGATACTGCTACCTTGTAAGAAGTTCCCGCCCCACCAGGTCAGGAGGGGCCCTACCAAACCACCAGTTATAGTTATAACGTAGCTGTAGTCTTGTGAGCTATATGTGGCTTTCCAAAGACAGAGATGTTAAAATGTGAGAAAAAAAATTCTTAAGACTTACTGAACTAATCCTAACTCTGCAAAGTAGGTGCATTTGAATTATTTTATTTTACTTAATTAAAATGTTGTCTTTTTAAAGTAGTAATAGTAGTAATTATAGTATCTAACAATTGCTGAGCTGTTGTTTGTTCTAGAAATTATGATAAATATTTTGCATGTATTCTTATTTAACCATCACAGTGGTGTCCTGTGAGATAACTACTTTCAATCATTTTATAGGTGAGGATATTGAGGCATAGAAAGGGCTAAATGATAGCCAGGAAGTAAGAATTTCAAGTAGGAATTAAATCCAAGTTGAGCTAACTCCAAGGCTTGCTCCTTCTATTCCAGTAGGCTGCTCTAGCCTGGGGGGTAGCTCAGTGTAGAGCTCTTGCTTAGTATG